AACATACGACCACTCTTATAACAACTCTATCCGTTTGTTCGTCGTTGGATCCAGAGCTACACACGACCTGATTCCCATAACACTAGGGATATGTAGGCAACTCAGGAACCAGGGTTCGACCCTTATTTTAAAAAAACATCATTCCTCACTCATTTCGGAAAAAATTGGTCATCATTTTCTTTACCCGACAACTCTTTCATCATTCCCGAGTAAAGAGGGACAGCTGTTGATACCCAATTTTTCCCTCATAGTATATATACTTTCAAAATATTATTTTTTCATCATTATTTAATTTACAAATTTATACAAATATTTTACAATTTTTTCATGATTTTTAGAGCTTTAAAATTAATTTTCTTGCATTTAAATTACTTAAATATTATCCCTTTAAGTTATTTATCATGACTTAATCATCCAAATTTATCATTTTATATCCATGTGTGTGTTTAATAATATTTTACTTCATTTTATATAATTACTGCTTGTTTAACCAATCCTGTTCATCTGATTTTGATTGTATGTGATATAATTACTGCTAGTTCATCCAAATTTATCATTTTATATCCATGTGTGTGTTTAATAATATTTTACTTCATTTTATATAATTACTGCTTGTTTAACCAATCCTGTTCATCTGATTTTGATTGTATGTGATATAATTACTGCTAGTTCATCCAAATTTATCATTTTATATGTTATTTAACCAATCTTGTTCCCTTAGATTTTAAGAATTATGACCACTGTTAATAGACTTTAGGACTGTCAATTGGTTATCATGTATGGTCTCCCCTTTCATGTTTGGTATGAGTTTGTGTATGGCCCTGGGTGTATAGCTGATACATTCTCACTCTGAATCATGCTGGGTCCTGGGTTCACTGTTTGTGTGAAAGGAGAAGCTTGTTGAAGGCCCAGGTGTTACTAGGTTACATTCTTTGGGGCTTGCTCTACGTATTGGGCATGTAGCCTTTTAATATATAACATTCGCACTTGTATTCATTATTTTTGGGTCTGTAATAATTTCTTAACAAAAACAGATGGGAAAATTTGTAAAAGAGGGGTAGGGTACTCTAATTCACACATAAATGGGTAGAAAGCATACATATAGGATCTATGTGATTTATTTGTTATTTACTTCACATGTTTTAACTTCATGAGTAGAAATCCTGCCTATAGGAGTCACACACACATACACATCAGTTAACTTGCCAATGCATGCTATTTCAAGTATCCGTTGTACCAATCTTCACTACTGTATTTTCTTAGATGAAATGACTATAGGGCGTAGAAATGCAATATTCTACTTACCTAGGTTCCATGCCTATAGGACTTCGAATGATAAATCTATCTCAATTATCATTGTACTGCTCATGCCTATTGGTTTAACAATCAATCAGCTGCCCATATCCTTTGTATTGCTCATCTAGATAGCATGCCTATAGGGATAAAACTATATAAAATCAATGTCAATTGCCAACTATTAAATATCATGCTTCTAGAACAGTGTCACCTGCCTAAGGAACTTGTCTATAAAAGCACCGTTGGTAGTTCATGGTTCTGGAGTCGTTTCACTACCGTTTGCGAACAATATAGAAATTATGCCTATAGGTTTTTATGATCTGCAAATCCGTTGTCTGTATATTGCTAAAATAAGAATCTCTTAGAAACCATGTCTATATGACTTATAATGATTTAATCTATACGTTGGCCTAAAATGCAGCATCGCCTGTTTGATATTGGAATCATATAAAGATCTTGCTCATAGAACCAAAGGATTCTAAATCTCAAGTTCGAAACGTTCTACTGCCTAATCTGAAAATCAGTCTAAGTGCTTCTTTGTTTACGTGCGGAGGCTAACATGAGTTACTCTTTGCTATTATGTGCATTCCCTTTTTTTTTGAATGTCGCTTAGTTTTATCATTTTTGAGCAACCTAAGTAAAGTCTAGAACCACCCAAATAGTAGGTCTAAAGCCTCCTGGGCCATAGGCATGGGACGGGTAGCGCACGCATAGGGTATGACTCATAATTGAATCAGAACGCTCTTAGGTAAACAACTTCAACATAGTAATCGGGCAACATGAGATGATAGTATGTGCCCGCTGAATAATATGAGCAACTCCTATCATAAAAGGTGTTGCGAATTATTATTTATGTTGCATGGGATGATCCTTTAGGCTAAAAAACTTAGGATCTCCCCTCTTCTTTACATACTTGCTCAGTCATATACCATTGTAGTCGCATCCTTGTAGTCCTTAAAGATATGTACCCGATTCTGATTGTGTTATAATGAAACTCTTCAACTTTTATATTTCTTTGTTCATATGATCACCTAGCCCAATTACATAATCCACATAGTCTTAAGTTCATCCGGGACCCACAGTTGTGGACTTCGATGAGTGCCTAATACCTTCTCTTTGAGGTAATTTGAACCCTTACCCGATCTTTGGTGGCGTTGACTAGTCAAATAGAGTTATTTGCAAATAGGTGCCCTAACGCACCTTAAAACTGATAGGTGGCGACTCTTCTCTTTTAATAACCATTTAAAAGAGTTGTCATATGTCGAAGCCCGATTTTGCGAGAAAAAGGGGGCGGGACACACCCTGCACTTCATGTGCAGATCCAGGTAATCCCGGACATAGTGGGTGTTGATTCTTTCACACAGTTGATTTTTCGGAGATTTAGAGGTAGATGTCGTATTTCGCAGACCTTGTCTATCCTTCCCTATCTCCTTGTTTACTGTATTTGGTCTCAGACTATTATAGATCGTGTTGTGCAGACTTGTAATGTATAGATGCTCATGTACTCGGTGACACCGGGTTTTGGGAGTGTATTTATATCCAGTAGTTGTGGGATTTTCTCTTAAACATAATTATTATATTTTCCGTATTTAAAAGAAATTGTGGGTTACTGATGTTGTCGTCTTGCCTAGTATTGAGATAGGCACCATCGCGACAGGTTAGGATTTTGGGTCATGACATTTATGGTCTTTTCTAATTCTTTATCTTGTCTGCTTGTCTGCTACTATCTCCCAAAAGCAACGAATAGTGAAATTATTTTTTTCTTGCAAATACAAAGAGAACTCCAATTTCCATTATATCAGTAAGTTCAAAATTCAAATTGCAGATTAGTCATTCTTTTTGTTCCTCTATGTAAAAAACTTTATTCTTTTCAACTCAAGTTAATTGTGCTTGTAAGTAACGTATAATGAATTGTTTTGACTAGTTTTTGTGGGGATGGAGCACATCTATATATATTTTTCACATATTTATAGTTTTCTTCAATTTTTATGCAATTTTACCTATTTATAAATATTTATTGTAATTATAATATTTTATGAAATATTAAAAAAACTAAATACTCATAGGGCTTACGCCTCGCTGAGGTATGTGTAAAATGCCTCTCCTTAAGCCCACACCTTTTAAAACACTGGTCAAAACTAGTTTATTATAGACAACTTTACTAAATACAGCTCTTCGAAATTTTTGATTGAAAATTTGAAACTTTGAGTTTTCAATAATGGATTATTCCTGAATGACACACATAATCACAAAATAAATACATTCACAATTTGCTATTCACAGATTATGGGCTTTTAGTTTTGTTTTCTCTTTACCTCCAAAAATAAATGCTCCATTAATTAGTATTTGGCTCCTCTCCATTTCCTCAAGTTCTTACTTAGTTGAGTGACACGCGTCACATTTTAATATATATTATATTAACTAAAATCAAATCTTAACAATGGTTAGAACTTAGTTAATACTGAATATTTCCCATTAACTGCTGATATTTCCTCTACTTTTTCAATCTATGCACCTAAAAAAAAAATTTATCGCCCAAAATTATTTAATCCCAACAATCTTGGCAGCAGAGAAAATTTATCAAATTCAAACCAAGGAAATCAAGTACAGTTAATATCGTCAGACCTATATTTTTTTAAGATAACAACAAGATTGACATCGACCTATAATCTAGGGTAAGTGACGAAAGTTGAACTCAAAGTTGGCGTGCCTCAAAATAATTATTTTTTATCGCCCAAAATTATTTTAATCCCAAAACTCTTGGCATTAGAGAAAATTTATCAAATTCAAACCAAGGAAATCAAGTACTGTTAATATCGTCAGACCTATATTTTTTAAGATAATAACAAAATTGACATCGACTTAAAATCTAGGGTAAGTGACCAAAGTTGAACTCAAAATTGGTGTGCCTCAAAACAATTATTTATGGCCAGATATTTGGCAACGACATGAAGCATATACTTAATGAGAGAAGCATTTGTTCTTAACAGATTGTATAGAGTAGGTTTCCCATTTAGAAATTTACGTAAACTGTGCGAACACAGTCATGGACGCTTCTGCACTTCTTCTACTACTAGACCTATCTTTGAAGACAACGTCAGATATGAAATGTCAACAATCCCTGATATGGACCAATTCTGCTGCCCCTCTGAATATGCGGAAGAAAATAAAAAACTTTAGGGATTTACAAAATTAAAGCCTGCACCAACATTGATTACGCGTATATATATGTATTAATGTATACAGAATTAGAGAAACCAGTAAGAACGTGACAAGAAATCCAAATATGTGGGATACTAGATTGTACATGTAAACTAAATCAGAGGGCATAACTTGATGGATGAAATCCTTTACAACATGTAAGTTAATTAAGAGAGATTCATTGCGATATCACGAGCAACGATGCAGAAAGAACTGTATAGTACTTATAAGGGGACAAATCGTTAACTGTATAGTACTACAATTAAGAAAATTGTAGTAAGATGGTGTTGTGTGTATGTGTGAAAGTAAGATCAGTATATATTTTCTCACTCAAAGCGCAGATACGTTTCCTATCCTTCCTAATGGGTCTCGCAATCGAAACAACAAAAGATAATTGTTTTTAGTGAAACGAACAAGATACACTAGAGGAATAATATAGGTAAAATAATGGCAAAATTATTAAGTGATACTCCATATACATGAATACAAGTAAAATCTTCTGACAAGCTTCTCTTAAGAAGTTTGTTCGGATGAGACACTATTACCTAGCTGGAAGCTCTACTTTTCTATAAGTTCCATTGAGTAAACTTCATTCAATAAAGTTGTAAACTGATTGCTGCTCTCTCCTTCCCTTTGTTCTGGTTCCACCATTCATTATTCAAGAGTGTGAAGATCAACAGCAAATTATATCACCAAAATCGTCAATATCTAGGAGCACATCATCAGCCCAATTGATCTCTTCTTGGTGGTTGGAGCAGTCATTAATATAGCTGCTATTATTATGTTCGTTCATCTTCTGAGTCTCGTCCATGACTTGATGTTCGGCTTGACAAATTGATGCTGGTTGTACTGTTGTGGAGTAATCTTCATCAGGTTCATGCAACATAGCTTCGATTATTTTTACAACATCTTGTTCCTCCATAGTTACCCCATGATTTTTCTCAGCTCTTATATTCTTCTTGATTCGGCACACAACAACATCCTCCTTAAGAATATTGTTTTTTCTAAAGAAATCATCCCCGACTGAATATTCTTTCATCAGCCAAATTTTATTGTGCTCTCCTTCTTTACTACGACTAGTTTGAAACTTCAAACATCTTCTAAACCCAACCACAGTTCCCTTACCATTCTTGATAGGATCAATACCTGTTTGGCCTTTCCATCTCCCGTTGGCGCAAGTTCGGCGTACCCTTATATGTTCTCTCTTCTGCTTCTTCAGCCGAGTAAAAAAATAGTGAACCTTCTCTTCGGGATAATCAGAAGCTCCAAATATCTCCCATGGTGGTTGGTCTCCATAGATATCGGCAAGTCGAAAATTACCATAACGTCGACATGGTATATATGGTCATTTCTTTTTCTTGCTTATACAGAAACACAAGAATGAGACAATAGCAATTGCCACAATATGCAAAGACAAGAACCACTACTGTTCTCTCTAGTTAGAAGACGAACTTTGAAATGAAACCTTAAACGAATGGAGGAAGTTTATTGACGTGAATGCTGTAATTGACTATATATAGATATTTGATCAGGTTAATTCCAATAGAGAAAATTTAGGAAAAAAATTTTTAGGAGAGGAAAAGGTGTTGATTTTTGCGGAATACTTAAGTTTTTTTTAACTAACTTTCTTTACTGATTTTCACAATACGTAAGTTGTTTTAACTAACTTAATACTCCACAATTTAATAGAAGAATCTGAAAATATAATTTTCTTACCTTTTTCTCGATTTCATTTTATTTATTTTACCTTACTTTTTCATCCAGTATATAGGAAATTTCTAGTAAATATGTCACGACCCAAAACTAACCGTCGTGATGGCGCCTACCGTGGTACTAGGCAAACCACTACTCACTATCTTAACACAGTAAAAGTTTTGAAATTATAGACGGAAGCAATTAATATTTAAGAAAAACCTTTGTGGAACAGAAATAAACTCGCATCACAATACAATTTATCCCAAAAACTGGGGTGTCATCGAGTACATGAGCATCTATACCATGAGCAGTCTAATACAACGTCTAAGGAATAAGAACTAAAATGCGATAAAGGTAATGAAGGAGAGCCAAGGCCTACGAACGCCATGCAGCTGCCTCGATATTCTCCGGAATCAGCTGCTCAAATATCAACACCCGCTATGACCGGGAACACCTGGATCTGCATACGAAGTGCATGGTGTAGCGTGAGTACAACCAACTCAGTAAGTAATAATGATAAATAAGGAACTGAAAGATAGCGACGAGCAACACAGTAATAGTTCATTTTTAATAATCCCAAAAAGAAAGTGGACCTGTTTTCAAATTCAGCAGTTTAAGTCAAATCAATTTATAAATGCCAAGTTCAAGTAAAACCTTGATATAATATCCCTCGGAAGTTTCAAAAAAATGACATATAACAACTATGTGCAACAACAATGGAAACAAATACCGCCCCTCAGGGCAACAATCAATCATTCTTTCTCAATAGCCCATCACTCGGCTCTCAGCCCTCAACACTCACACTCGATAGGTACCTGCGCTCACTGGGGGTGTGTAGACTCTGGAGGAGCTCCTTCCACCCAAGCGCTATATCGCTGCGACGTGCAACCCGATCCATATATATATATATACAGCCCTAAGGCTCATTGCGGCGTGCAACCCGATCCATATACATATAGCCCTCAGGCTCGTTGCGGAGTGCAACCTGATCCATATATACTCACATAGCTCACAGCTCGGCACTCAGGCCCTATCTCAGTCACTAATCTCCCCAACCTCTCGGGCTCTCAGAAATCATACAAATCAGCCCAAAAGAAATAATAACAAGTACAAACAAGAAAACAAGAGAAACCGGAGATATGACACGCAAGTAAAACTGTGAAGCAAATAGCAGCTAATTCAACAAGTACCTGACCATTGCGCGTCCCAACAGTGATATCATATGGCCTAAGCATGGTTTCTGGCATGAATGTCAGTCAAATTTCTAGATGACAAAGGGAACATGTAATTAACAAGAAGCTATTCGACTTTACAGTCTCACGGGACGGACCAAGTCACAATCCCCCATGGTGCACGCCCACACGCCTGTCATCTAGCATGTGCGTCACCTCCAAAATAATCACTTCATACCAAAATCCGGGGTTTCATACCCTCAGGACCAGATTTAAAACTGTTACTTACCTCAAACTGCGTAAAATCCTACTCCGAAATGCCTTTGTCCCTTGAATCAGTCTCTAAATTCCCCGCATCTAGCCACAAGCAGTACAATATAATTAACATAGGCTAAAGGTAACAATTCCACAAGATAAATACGAAATTATAAGCCAAAATCCGAAATAGGCTCAAACCGGCCCTCTCGGATCCACGTTTCTAAATCCGACAAAAGTCACAAAATATGAACACACATTCACTCACGAGCTCATTCGTACCAAAATTATACAAATCCGATATCAAAATCCCAATCAAAACTCAAAAATTTAGTAGAAGAACTTCTTCCCATTTTTCCCAAAATTTTCACCCAAATCCGAAATTAAAAGATGAAATTAGTGAAAGATTAGTGGAATATAATCATAAATGGGTTAAGAATCGTTACCCAAAATATTCCTCTAAAAATCTCCCAAATTATTGTCCGAATCTGAGCTCTCAAAGTCCAAAAATTGAAAATGGGATAAAACCCTCGAACTTGGCCTTTTCTGCCCAGCGATTTCGCATATGCGGGTCTATAATCGCACCCGCGATGCCGCACCTGCGAAAATCCTATCGTAGGTGCGGACTTAAGTTATGTCCCCTAGGTTCACATATGTGGATGCGCTCCTGCGACCAAGGAACTGCAGCTGCGACCCTCACCGCTCCTACGCACAAACCACCCGCAGAAGCGAGGCCGCTTTGCGCAATTACCTCCGCACCTGCAAACCCAACTAGGGCTGCCAAATCCATCATTTGCGCTCCTTCATCCGCACGTGCGAGTCCGTACCTACTGTCTCCCCACCGCAAGTGCGAAAACACAAGAAACCAGAAACTTCAGCAGATACACAAGTCCAATTTTTGAACTGTTAAGCATCCGAACTACACCCGAGGCCCCCGAGACCTCAACTAAATATACCAATAAGTCCTAAAACACCATACGAACTTAGTCGAGCCCTCAAAACACGTCAAACAACAACGAAAACACGAATCACCCTCCAATTTAAACTTAATGCACTTGAAACTTCAAATTTCTACAACTGATGCCGAAACATATCAAATCACGTCCGATTGACCTAAAATTTAGCACACAAGTCATATTCAACATTACAGACCTACTCAAACTTTCGGAATCGGAATCTGACCCCGATATCAAAAAGTCCACTTTCGGTCAAAATCTCCAAAATTTGACTTTCACCATTTCAAGCCTAAATCAGCTACAGACCTCAAATTTACAGTCCGAACATGATCCTAAGTCCAAAATCACCCAACGGAGCTAACGGAACCGACGGAACTCCGGAGTCGTCTTCACGCAGTTCTGACTACGGTCAAAATCCTAAGACTTAAGCTTCCATTTTTAGGGACTAAGTGTCCCAAATCACTCTGAAACCACAACAAAACCTCCCGGCAAGTCACACAAGTAGAAAAATATATAGGGAAAGAAAAAAATAGGGGATCAGGGCTATTACTCTCAAAACGACCGACCAGGTCGTTACATCCTCCCCCTCTTAAAACAATCGTTTGTCCTCGAACGAGCATAAAGACATACCTGAAGTGGTGAAAAGATGAGGATAGCGGCTGCGCATATCCTGCTCGGTCTCCCAAGTTGCCTCCTTGGCCGGCTGACCCCTCCATTGAACCTTCAGAGAAGCAATATTCTTCTACCTCAGCTTTCAAACCTGCCTATTCAAGACCGCCACCAACTCCTCAACATACGATAAATCCTTGTCCAACTGGACTGAGCTGAAATCCAACACGTGAGACGGATCGCTCTGAACCTTCCGGAGCATAGAAACATAGAATACTGGATGAACTCATGCTAGACTGGGAGGCAAGGCAAGCTCATAAGCAACCTCCCCAGCATGTCGCAATACCTCAAATGGGCCAATAAACCTCGGGCTCAGTTTGCCCTTCTTTCCGAACCTCATAACACCCTACATGGGTGACACCCAGAGCAGGACCCGCTCTCCAATCATGAATGCAACATCGCGAACCTTCCGATCCGCATAACTCTTCTGTCTGGACTGGGCTGTGCGCAGTCTATCCTGAATTACCTTAACCTTCTCCAGAGCATCCTGAACCAAATCTATACCCAATAATCTAGCCTCGCCTGGCTCGAACCAAACCACTGGAGACCTACACTTCCTACCATACAGAGCCTCATACGGTGCCATCTGGATGCTCGACTGATAAATGTTGTTGTAGGCAAACTCTGCCAGTGGCAAGAACTGATCCCACAAAACCCCAAACTCTATCACACACGCACGAAGCATATCCTCTAATATCTGAATTGTGCGCTCGGACTGTCCGTCCGTCTGCGGGTGAAATGTTGTTCTCAACTCCACTCGAGTACCCAACTCATGCTGTACTACCCTCCAAAATCGTGATGTAAATTGCATACCCCGATCAGAGATGATAGATACCGGTACGCCATGAAGCCTGACGATCTGGCGGATATACACTCGAGCCAGCTGCTCGGAAGAATAGGTAGTCATCATAGGAATGAAATGACTTGACTTGGTCAGCCTATCCACAATTCCCCAAACTGCGTCAAACCTCCGGTGAGTCTGTGGGAGTCTAACAACGAAATCCATAGTGATCCGCTCCCACTTCCACTCCGGAATCTCTAATATCTGAAGCAACCCACCTGGTCGCTGATGCTCATACTTCACCTATTGGCAATTTAGACACCGAGCCATATACTCAACTATGTTGCCTCAAGTCCTGGTACATCTTCGCGGCACCCGGATGAATAAAATACCGCGAGCTATGAGCCTCCTGAAGAATCAACTCTCGCAAACTATCCACATTGGGTACACAGAGCCTACCCTACATCCTCAATGCACCATCATCCCCAATAGTGACCTCCTTAGCATCACCATCCTGCACCGTGTCCTTAAGGACAAACAGATGGGTGTCATCATACTAACGCTCCCTGATACGATCATAAAGAGAAGACCGAGAGACCACACAAGCCAGTACTCGACTCGGCTTAAAAACATCCAATCTAACAAACTGGTTGGCTAACGCCTAAACGTCCAATGCCAATGGCCTCTCTACTGCTGGAAGATATGCTAAGCTCCCCAAAATCTTCGCCCGGCGACTTAAGGAATCAGCCACCACATTGGCCTTCCCGAGATGGTACAAAATTGTGATATCATAGTCCTTAAGAAGCTCCAACCACCTCCGCTGACGCAAGTTAAGATCCTTATGTTTGAACAGATGTTGCAAAATCCGGTGATCAGTGTAAATCTCACAATGGACACCGTACAAATAGTGTTGCCAAATCTTCAAGGTGTGAACAGTAGCTGCTAACTCACGGTAGTGGACAGGATATTTCTTCTCATGAGGCTTCAACTGGCGCGAAGCATAAGCAATCACTCTACCCTCCTGCATCAGAACATACCCAATACCGATCCACGAGGCATAATAATACACTGTGTAAGAACCAGAAGCTGATGGTAGAACTAGAACTAGAGCCGTGGCCAAAGAAGTCTTGAGCTTCTGAAAGCTCTCCTCGCACTCACTCGACCACCTGAAAGGAGCACCTTTTTGGGTCAATTTATTCAAGGGCCATGCGATAGATAAGAAACGCTCCACAAAACGACAGTAATAACTAGCCAAACCGAGAAAACTCCGAATCTCTGTGGCTGAGGACGGTCTGGGCCAACTCTAAACCGCCTCTATCTTCTTTGAATCTACCTGAATACCCTCACTGGACACCACGTTCCCCAAGAACGCCACTGAACTGAGCCAAAACTCACACTTGGAGAACTTTGTATAAAGCTTCTCCTCCCTCAACCGCTGTAACACAATCCTCAAATGCTGAGCATGCTCCTCCTAGCTACGAGAGTACACCAGGATGTCATCAATGAATACAATAACAAACGAGTCAAGATAAGGATGAAACACACTATTCATTATATGCATGAACGCTGCTGGGGTGTTGGTCAACCCAAAATCATCATAAGGAACTCATAATGGCCATATCGGGTCGTGAAAGCTGTCTTAAGAATATCTGAGTCCCGAATCTTCAGCTGGTGATACCCTGACCTCAAATCAATCTTGGAGAACACCCTCATTCCCTGAAGCTGGTCAAATAGATCATCAATACACGGCAAAGGATACTTGTTCTTGATTGTGACCTTGTTCAACTGTATGTAATCAATGCACATTCTCATAGTATCATCCTTCTTCTTCACAAATAGAACTGGTGCACCCCAAGGTAACACGCTAGGCCGAATAAACCCCTTATCAAGGAGTTCCTGAAGCTGCTTCTTCAATTCCTTCAACTCCGCCGGTGCCATACGATACGGTGGAATAGAAATAGGTTGAGTGCCCAGCACCAAATCAATACTGAAATCAATATCCCAGTTGGGCGGCATGCCCGACAGGTCTGCAGGAAACACATCCAGGAAATCTCGCACCACTGGAACAAAATCAATAGTAGCGGTCTCTTCACTAACATCCCTCACAAAGGCCAGATAAGATAGACAACCCTTCTCAACCATCCACTGAGCCTTCAAGTATGAAATCACTCAACTAGAAACATAGTCTATAGAGCCGCTCCACTCAACTCTCGGCAATCCCGGCATCGCCAACGTCACGGTCTTCGCGTGACAATCTAGAACACATGACATAGAGACAACCAGTCCATACCCAAAATCACGTCAAAATCAACCATACTAAGAACTAAGAGATCTACTCTGGTCTCCAGGCTCCCAATAGTCACCACACATGACCGATATACTCGGTCCACAATAATAGTATCACCCACCAGAGTAGATACATGAACAAATTAAATATGAGGACACATATGAATAAGTGGAACAAGGGTCAAATAGTACAAAGGCATCTCTGTGGAAAACTGAGACACTACATATTATCACAGCGTCCGAAGCAATGGCATCTGGTCTGGCCGGAAGAGCATAGAATCGGGCCTGACCGCCACTCGATCGTCCTCCCCCTCTAGGGCAACCTCTAGCTGACTGGCCCCCACCCCGAGCTGGCTGAGCGGGTAGTGAAGTAACTGGTGTTGAAGTCGTAGTCTGACTCCTCTGCTGAGTCTGACCTCCCGTAAGGCGGGGACAATACCTCCTGATATGGACAAACTCTCCACACTCACAAAAACTACCCGGTGCTGGTGGTGGGGACTAAAGGGGGGCCCGAGCACCAGGATAACTGGTAGAAGGACCTGGCATAGACGAGCCCTGACCCAATAGAGCATGGGACAAACTCTGAGCTGGAAGGGCACTAAGAGATGAGTGACCCTACTGGTAACTGTGTGAACCATGGCCAGATGATGCACCATGGTGAACAGGGCGAGCCGTCTGAGCATGCCTGTAAGGACGACCCCTGTCGTGGTAGAACTGACCCCTAGAAGATCACCGCTGAATGCACCTTGTCCACGAGGCCTCTTGGCCTCTCTGTCAACCCGCTCCTAGCTGCGAACCATCTCAATCTGACGAGCAATGTTGACAATCTCATCAAAAGTAGCACCAAATGCTCTCTCTCTAGTCATAAGCAATCACAGCTGAAAAGTGAGTCCATCTATGATCCTCCTGATCCTCTCCTTGTTTGTGGGAACCAACCAGATAGCATGACTGGCCAACTCAGAATATCTCATCTCATATAGTGTCACGGAGATATCACCCTGACGAAGCTGCTCGAACTACCTGCGCGGCTCCTCTTTGCGGGACTGAGGCACGAACTTCTCCAGGAATATTCTGGAGAACTGCTGCCAGGTAAGGGGTGCTGCGCCGACTGGCCTACGCCTCTCGTAATCCTCCTACCAACTGAAGGCAGCCCCAAAGAGCTGAAAAGTAGTGAACGAGACCCCACTGGTCTCTATAATACCTGTTGTATAGAGTATCCTCTGACACCTATCCAAGAAGCCTTCTGCATCCTCTCCCTCAGTATCACTGAAAGATGGAGGCTGGAGTCTCCCAAACCTCTCCAATCGACGCTGCTCATCATCGAGCATGATAGGAACCACATAGTCCTTAGTAGCTGCAACGGCTGGGCTGGTGGTGCCCCCGATGTCTGGAGTCTTTGTACCACCTGCTCTAGTGTTCGGGAAGCAGGTGTCTGAGCATCTCCCCTGGTCTGAGAAGTGGCTGTTATGGCCGGAATAGAGACCGCCTGAGCAAGACTGGTGCACATGGTCAGAATCTGAACTAAGGCCTCCTGAAGGCCTGGAATCACAATGGGCATAGGTGGTGCTTGAGCTGGTCCTACAGGCTCATCCACAACTGGAGCCTGCTCCTGAACTGGGGCAACTAGTGGATCTGCAGGTGCTGCCCTAGCTGCGGTGCGAGCTGCACCTCTACCCCTACCGCGGCCTCGACCGCGACCTCGGCCTCTCGCGGCCCTTACTGGTGGTACTGGTGGCTGTCCATCCTGCCCTATTGTACGCGTCCTCACCATCTTTGAGAGAATTAGAACAATAGAAATTTAGTTACCAGAGTCAAATGATTCGCACGACAAGAAATCAAGATTGTGAAATTTCCTAAGGTTTCGACAACCTCTCGAAGATAAGTACAGACGTCTCTGTACCGATCCGCAAGACTCTACTAAACCTGCTCAAGACTCGTGAGACCTATGTAACCTAGGCTCTGATACCAACTTATCACGACCCAAAACCAACCGTCGTGATGGCGCCTATCATGGGCAAGCCACTACTCACTATCTTAACACAGTAAAAACTTTGAAATTATAGATGGAAGCAATTAATATTTAAGAAAAACCTTTGTGGAACAGAATTAAACTCGCATCACAATACAAACTATGCCAAAAATCGGGGTGTCATCGAGTACATGAGCATCTATACCAGCAGCTTTCTAATACAACGTCTGAGGAATAAAAACTAAAATGTGATAAAGATAATGAATGAGAGCCAAGGCCTGCGAATGCCATGCAGCTACCTCGATAGTCTCCGGAATCAGCTGCTCAAATATCAACACCCGCTATGACCGGGAATACATGGATCTGCACACAAAGTGCAGGGTGGAGCATGAGTACAACCAACTCAGTATGTAACAATGATAAATAAGGAACTGAAAGATAGTGACGAGCAACACAGTAATTAGTTCATTTTTAGTAATCCCAACAAGAAAGTGAACCTGCTTTCAAATTTGGCAATTTAAGTCAAATCAATTTATAAATGTCAAGTTCAAGTAAAACATTGATATAATATCCCTCAGAAGTTTCAAAACAATGACATATAACAACTATGTGCAACAACAATGGAAACAAATACTGCCTCTCAGGGCAAAAATCACTCATTCTTTCTCAATAGCTTATCACTCGACTCTCAGCCCTCAACACTCACACTCGATAGGTACCTACGCTCACTAGGGGTTGCTGACTCCGGAGGGGCTCCTTCAACCCAATCGCTATATCGCTGCGGCATGCAGTCTGATCCCATATAAATAGCCATAAGGCTCGTTACAGCGTGCAACCCGATCCATATACATACAACCCTCAGGCTCGTTGTGGTGAGCAACCCGATCCATATACACTCACATAGCTCACAGCTCGGCACTCAAGCCCTATCTCAGTCACTAACCTCCCCAGCCTCTTGGGCTCTCAGAAATCATACAAATCAACCCAAAAGAAATAATAACAAGTATCAACAAGAAAATAAGAGGAAACAGAGATATGGCACGCAAGTAAAATTGTGAAGCAAATAGCAGCTAATTCAATAAGTACCCGACCGTTGCAGGTCCCAACAGTGATATCATATTGTCTAAGCATGAATTCTAACATGAATGGCAGTCAAATTTCTAGAAGACAGAGGGAACATGTAATTAACAATAAGCTATTCGACTTTACAGTCTTACGGGAGAGATCAAGTCACAATCCCCCACGTTGCACGCCCACACACCCGTCGCCTATCATGTGCGTCACCTCCAAAATAATCATGTCATACCAAAATTTGAGGTTTCATACCCTCAGGACCAAATTTAAAACTGTTACTTACCTCAAACCGCGCAAAATCATACTCCGAAATGCCTCTACCCCTTGAATCAGTCTCTAAATTCCCCCGAGTCTAGCCACAAGTAGTACGATATAAATAATATAGGCTAAAGGAATCAATTCCACAAGAAAAATACAAAGTGATAAGCCAAAATCCGAAATAGGCTCAAACCGTCCCCCGGAGCCCACGTCTCGAAATCCGACAAAAGTTACAAAATATGAATACCCATTTACTCACGAGCTCATTCGTACCAAAATTATCCAAATCCGATATCAAAATCCCAATCAAAACTCAAAAACTTAGTTGAAGAACTGCTTCCCATTTTCCCCAAATTTTCCACCCAAATCCAAATTAAAAGATGAAATTAGTGATAGATTAGTGGAATATAACAATAAATGGGTTAAGAATCGTTACCCAAAAGTTTCATATGAAAATCTCCCAAATTATCGTCCAAATCTGAGCTCTAAAAGTCCCAAAATTGAAAATGGGATAAAACCCTCAAACTAGTCCTTTTCTGCCCAGCGATTTCGCATCTGCGGGCCTATAATCGTACCTGCAATACTGCACCTGTGGAAATTCTATTCCAGGTGCGGACTTAACTTAAGTGTCACGCCCCGAACCTAGGAGCGAGACAAGCACCCGGTGCCTCACCTAACCTGGCGTACCAAATTGCGACTCAGGGACTCTGAACACATAATGTCATACTTTGGCCATGGGGCCACCTTGCAAGACAATTTGCGAAGCAAAATATAAAACTGAATGGAAACTAGCGCTAACTAAACATCAATATAAAGCTAGGATGAAAAGGCCGTCATAGCTACTACAGCTGACAAACCACCAAATTATACATACCAGGCCTACAAACCCA